CGGGGCTCGTGTAGCCGGCTGGGCCTGGCTCTGCGTTCGTGTCCTTCTTGCCGGGCGTGGGCTTTCTTTGCCTGTCTGAGCTGCGCAGCCCCACTCGGGAGGTGTCTCCCCTCAAAACAGATGTCACTTATTCTGAAGATTGTTTTTGTGCTTTCTATGCATCTTTCCATACTCTCTTATTACATCATGTGTCCTGGCTGCCCTTTGCCTCAGAAATCCAGCTTTCTGGAGGCTGTTGCACAATGAATCTTTCAAACCCATGAAACGATGCGTTTCATGGGTTTGTCGGGCTTTAAACTATATATTCTGGGGTAATTTATTGCCAAGCTGCTCTTTATTCATGCACAGACAGCTCACAGCCATTTTGCATCCTATTTATAGATTTATTGATAACACTGCTCCAGCAGCATGCTGGAGTGCTAGATAAATACAGCTGAATATAAAATGATTAACTATTAGATGCTTTTAAAGCTCGAAGATTTGCATCCTCCTTCTGTCTCACCAGGCAATTTGTCATTCACAGCAATACTTCCAATAATAGGAAATTTAATACATCTTCGGAGAAAGAAAGCTTTAATATTAGCCTTCCTCGAAACTTGACATTTTATCAGAAAATATGGGCAGTGTGTGTTTTGCTGAACTCTGTAATCACAAATTTGGGTGAAAATGGCCAAGTAATTTTGGGGAATAAATATAAATAGAATTATCATCACCCGTTTATGAAGTAAAAATACTTTCTAAGAACTACAGCGAAGGAAATTTCCGGACAAAATACAATCATCAGAAAAATCTAATACTGAAAGGAATATCAATCTGCTTAATAGACTAATTCATCATTCAAGTCTAGTGATGCCATATTTAAATTAATAAATTGCTACAAATACTTCAGAAAAGCCTGAATTATGTGAGTAATTAGGAACGCCTATCAACTACTGTTCCAATTTTCCTAGATACCAAAAAAGTGGAGAAATTCAATCTCCCAGCTCATATCTGTACCAAAAATATTTTATGGATTTCACACTTAGATCTCTGTAGTGTATATCAGTTCCACTTAGCAAATAGGAATTCTGAAGTGAGGGAACATTTTGCAATTGCTCTTTTCTTGTGACAGTAATTCCACAGCAGAGAACAAGCAGCAAGGGCAGGTTTCACATTTAGAGTGCAATTGAACATAATGGCATGATTCACTGGAAATGAAACTGTTGCTCCACTAAATTTTCGCTTCCTGATGAGATAATCTGTGCTAGCAGGTTTCCTTTGCTGTTAAATTATGTTCATAGATTTTTTTTTTTCCCTGCAGAATGAATGGAATATTATTCTTTTATCCTGGTGCCTGCTCTTTTCTTCTGGTCCCCTCCTGGATGCCATGAAAATGATTTTTAATAACAATATAGGTAGCAGTTAGATACTGGCTGTTTTGTAATTTGCTAGTTCTGAGAACATCTTGCTATTTCTCACCATAGGAAAAGTCAAAGAAGTACCAGAAAGACTGATCTAATATGATCATTTTTTGTTCTTATCCGTGGAAAAAAAACCAGCCTGATTCTTGAAAGAATATCTGTGATTTTCTGGTACATGCCTATTTGAGATACTGTTTCCCCCTGTGTCATACTGCCTCCACCATGATCAGCAGACCTAAAATTTGGTCCCTATGAAAGGGAAGGACTGCTGGGAGAGACTTTTTGTGAAAGGACATTTTTCTGGAGCATTTCTTCCCAAGTCTCAAGAGAGTGTGAAGTTGCTACGCTTCAGATGTGCTTCAGCTCCATCTATTTCAGAAGGCATTGGTAGGTGAGGAAAGGGGTTTCCTCGTGCCCCCTATTGTAAAGATACATCCCTCTTGCCCCCATAATTTTTTATTTTTAGAGTTTATGTATGAAGAAATTTCTGAAAGCCAGACCCTTCTGTCGCTTCTTGTTTCAGGCATAATGAAAACTGAAAAAACAGAAACATTCTAGAAACATCTTGGGGCTAACAGATAAAGAACAATTCCCAAAATTTCCACAATCTTCGTATCTGACCTTGGGCTGATCAGTTAACTGCCCTGTGCTGCAATATTTAATTTTGTTCAAAATGAATTACCTTCCCTCATTTTGAGTCTATGGATATGTATCCTCCTTTTTCTCCACAGCTGCCCAGTGAAGAAGTTACCACCTTTACCTGCCA